ATACTCATGGTCTTAAAATAAGTGAGGAGAATTTGCTACCTTTCTATAATCAAGAAATGGATAGATATTCTAGTCTTCTCGGATAAGGACGAATAAACCGTAGGCCCCGTCTCCTGCAGGGTTAGGGGTAGGAGACGTTAATTTCCCACGCACGAGAATACTGTGTTGTGGATGTCCTCCCTTGGGGTGGGATGGGTGGGAATTGGCCCTGAAAAGCCCCCATGGGGAGTGGTCAACTAACGTATGTATGTATGTATGTAAACTAACAAGATTTTAGTCATGATTTGCCTACCATTAGATATATCATACAGGGCAATGCCGTGGTCTCATCCGAATTGATCCCGCCATTAGTATTTATTTATTTATTTATTTTTAAAACAGCTTTATTTGGTATGACTCATAGAAGTCGTAGATGCAATAGGGTTGGTGGAAACGGGACACAAGGACCCATGCGAGGCTCTGCCCTTTAGAGGGGGGCACTCTAGGGTTGGTGCATACGGGACACAAGGACCCATGCGAGGTACTGCCCTTTAGAGGGGCACTCTAGGGTTGATGCATACGTGACACAAGGACCCATGCGAGGCACTGCCCTTTAGAGGGGCACTCTAGGGTTGGTGCATACGGGACACAAGGACCCATGCGAGGCGCTGCCCTTTAGAGGGGCACTCTAGGGTTGGTGCATACGGGACACAAGGACCCATGCGAGGCACTGCCCTTTAGAGGGGCACTCTAGGGTTGGTGCATACGGGACACAAGGACCCATGCGAGGCTCTGCCCATAGGGGGCACCGTGAGAGTAAAGTGTTTTTCCTAAGAACACGTCATTAACCCGACCAGGTCTCGCACCCGGGCTTCTCGACCCGAAGTCCACTGCAATGGCCTGAGGCCACTAGATAGCTCCCTTTCAGTTTATTGTCTTAGTGATCACACTTATGGTAAGACAAAACTCAACCCCTTTACACATTAACAACAGTAAGCATCATCTCCGGACTGTTCTCTATATAATTCCTTAGGTACTTTTGAAGATAATTCGTCTTAAAATCAAGAGCTTTTTAATTGCACTCATTTCCTTTATTCTCATGACCATAATGTTTGACTCAGGGGGGATGCTGTGGGGAGAACTTGGATTCTTGTTACTCTTAGGTTTAAAGGGCTCAGTAATATTCCGTTGTTTTTCTTTCAGGTAATTAAAGATGAAAGAATATAATATTTGTCTGTAATTAATAATGTTATCAGTAAGATGACGATAAGGCGTGGTCACCTTTTGTCTTTGTGTAGCTGGCAGTCTTTTTTTCTTATTGGCAATGGTAGTCTCCTCGCTTTTTGCACAATTACTTGTTTTCTTTTGGTGACCATTCGCCTTTTGTGCCATTGTGAAAGACTGCCGTGGCACAAGCTATCGACTACTGCATAAGCAGTAACGAAAGAACTGTAGTAGCTCTAATGAAAATTGTACAATTAACTGAACATTTTGAGGTCGGGGATTGGTCATTGATGGAGATTTTGTGTTCTTGGTTTTGTTAAACAAGGTGTGCAGTTTTAAAAGTCTTTGGGAGATTTTTTCGGATTAAGACAGTGAAGGCTTCAAATAAGATTTAAAAGGATCTGTTTATTAACCTTAAAATAAGAAAATCTAGTTTTCCTCATTTAAGTTTTCTGTTCATTGTACAAGACAGATGAATTCATTTTTTGATTTGTCTGTTCTGTTATAGATCACAGACGACATCTAAATTTGTTAAGAACAACGGTAATGCACCCGCTTGCGTGGTTTTTTTATTTTTTTGTTCTACCGAATTTATCGTGATTGCCACTACTGACCAGAAACGGCAAATTTGAATCTGCTTGTTCTCTAGTTTGTTTAGCGACTTTCTACTCTGCTCCTTGATTATTTGAAAGTACATCCCAGCCATTTTAAAAGTTTTTCCGCCTTTCGCGCAGTTTTCTTTTTCGAATTTCCCCTTTGTCAGCCAATTTTTTTAAGGTCAGTGATACTATTACTTTCTGCCTTCAAGGTCAAGGTAATACATATCATATAATAACTGGTTGCCAATATTCCGCTGGAAAATCAAATAAGTAGCCTCTCGTGAACAAAGATTTTGGTGTCAAATTACCAGAGGGCTTCTCGGGAGCATGTTTGAAAGATTTTGTGTTAACTTGTGAGTTTCTCAGAACCTTTTCGAATTGTGTTTTTCATCAGCTTAGTACAATATTATTTTGTGACAGAGAAGCTACCTAACCACAGGTCGAGTCATTTTTTGGGTCTTGCAAAACTAACCTAGACTTAAGAGGAGACTGGAAATATGAGTCCCGTAAGGGAGAGACAGACTGGAGTTATGAGTCCCGTTAGGGATAGAGAGGCACGGCAGGGTCATGATAAAGCAGCAGAGAATTAGGACTCTAACAATGGACAAGATTTTTTAATAAAACGGTTGTTTGATGACGACTTTGAACACTTAAGATTGTAATTTTCTAAGGTGTTAAAAAAGCAGCGACAAAAACAATTAAAAACCACGTCGTAGCCCTTGAAGCAAGCGAGTAGATCAGTGTGGCATCAAGGTAGTTGTAAACAGATAGGGGTTCAGTTGTTTCTCTTCAATATCTTTACAACTGATATAAGCGCTTATTAACTTTAACTAAACCAGTGGTTTGGTATTTTTCTTAGGAAAAGCAAATTTTGGAAATAAAATGTAATTCGCTCATCTTTTGCGTGGCTTTGTGTGACTATCCAGCTTAGTTCAATTTTTCTCGTCAATTCACTGCGATTTGTTCAAAGTTTCCATAAGCTCTGTTAGCGTTGAGCTTTACGTACCCCACGAGGGACACAATATTTTTAAGGAGGTGGGTGGGTCGAATTGAATGTGATGTGTGGGGTGTAATTTGTCTAGCATTCAGAAATATATGTAACTGCTATAGGACTTGTCACTTATTTTATAAGTGTTGTTAATTCAGAAAAAATTGCCACTGCAGCAGTCAAGTACCGAATCCATCACATCCATTCCAAGAGTCGGTTAAATGTTTGTTCGATGCCCTAGTCCAACATTCTAAGAGAAGTTGGGCTTTCAAAACCTCAGTTGAGTTATACAATGAAATTATTCAGCTGAAGGAAATTTAGTATGAGTGCGCTGTACGTGTTTTTCAGCGTCGTTTAGCAGTCGTTTTCAACAATGGAAAGTTGTAGCTTGTGTCAGGCTGTCTGCTAGTGGAAACAATAAAAAGCAAAAGGGCTAACGCTCGAAACGTCAGCTTTTATAACCGTAACGGTGGCCAATTTACCATTTCAACTTTGGTGATATATTCAAATAAAAAGCAGGTGCGCTGAAATGGCAAGCAGGTGGCTTCGGTCCTAGGGGGAACGGCTTGTTAGCTATTTCTCGCTCTTCCTCACTGACTTACAACCCAGAACAAGGTTGAAAAGTTCAGGCCAATTTTTTGGCTATAGGAATTCTAACAGAGCTGGAAAAGGTAGAAATCTTTGCGTGGAACCATAAAGACCGCGCGAGGAAAGTGCAGAAAAGAAGTAGAATGATGTTGTGCTCACAAATGCATAACACTATGTCGATTGTTTGAGGACGATGGAGATGATTAATTACGATAAGTCTCTGTCTGAACTAAGTATTTTTTTTCTATTCAAGGCGGAATGTTTGTATGGTCGACATTACCTGAAAAAATAAACGCTGATGGTGAGTTTAGTGAAAAACCGTTGCAATTTTTCTTTCACAACACTTGCGGCACATTAGGAGTACCTGATTGCTTCGCACTAAGAGTCTCCTTGTGCTCTTCCATCAAATGAGCAAAATGGAAGAGCGTTGCGCGAAAACCAGAAGCGAGAAAGCGCGGTTTGCGTAGAGTGCTGAGTTTCATTCTAAAGCGATTTTGGCTCATTAGGCTGTTCAGATTGAATTAGCTCTTAATGAGGGTTGTCTTGTAGTCTCTTCCGCCAGGTACCACAGGTGGAAATCCTCAGTCAACTCACTTGTTAGGAAACCAGCGACGGTGCATGCATGCCTGTTGAATTTTCTTTTTTCCTCGCAGAACTTCTGAAAGTTTGTAAAGAAAAGTTCAAAGTCGGTTTTTCTCTTGGCTCTGACAGTAGGACGTTCACAGTTTTTTTCGCTATTTTCGGCTCATCCTCGGTGTAAAAACCTGTGAAGCTCACGAGTGACGTAAAACAAAGACAACAAAACATTATAAACAATAGCGTACAGCAAAACAATACCTCATGAAACAAAGAAAACCTCGTCAGGTTTTTACACCGAGGATGACCCCTATTTTCCTCGTAGTTGCGGAATCGCTTTGATATCTTCTTCCATCTTGCGAATTAGGGCTTTCAAAGTTCCATCTTGAATCATGTGCGAACAACAAACTATCGTAGTATCCATATC